CGAACAAAAGCCACAAGCAGACATTTCACCGGAGAAGACAGACAATGGCAAATAAGTGCACGCAAAGACGTTCAACCTCATTAGCCATTTGAGAAACGCAAATTAAAACCAGAATGAAATATCATTTACATATTATCAGAGTGGCTAAAATGTAAACAAGTGACGACATCAAACTCTGGTGAAGATGCAAGGGGAGATCATTCATATGTCACTGGCGGTAACATGCAGTGATACAGCCACTGCAACAGTTTGGCAGGTTCTTATAAAACCAAACATGCAACTACCATATTGCAACTACCCAAAAATTGCATTCTTGCACATGTATCCCAGAGAAATGACAACTTATGCTCACCCCAAATCCTGTACATGAATGTTCTTTGCAGCTTTATTTGTAATAGCCAAAAAACTAGAAGCAACCTAGTTATAGCCATCAACAGATGTATAGTTAAAGTGTAGTACATCCATATCACAGAAAACTACTCAGCCATAAAAAGGAATCAACTCCTGATACAAACAACAACTTGGATGAGTCTCTGGAGATTTATGCTGAGTGAAAAAAAGTCAATCCCAGTAAGTTATACACTGTATGATTCTATTTATGCAACATCCTTGAAATGACAAAATTATAGAAATGGAAAACATATTATTAGTGGTTTCCAGGAGTTAGGGACAGAGTTTGGGGTGGAAGGAGGTGGGTGTGGCTACAAAAGGACAATATATGATGGAGTCCTTCTAGTATTAGAAATGTTCTGTGTGTTGACTCTGGTTGTGGACACAAATCTCCACATGTGAGAAGATTGTAGAGAATGAAACACACACACACACACACACACACACACACAAAGGAGTGCAGGTAAAACTGGGGAAATCTGAATAAGGTTATATATTGTACCAATGTCAATACTCTGGTTGCGATATCGTTCTACATCACAGTTTTGGCAGGACGTTACCATTGGAAGAAATTGCGTAAAGGATGCATGACATTTTTCTGCATTATTTCTTACAACTGCATGTGATTCTACAGTTATCTCAAAATAAAACGTTTATTTAAAAAATTACACATGGGCCGGGCATGGTGGCTTATGCCTAGCACTTTGGGAGGCTGAGGTGAAAGGATTATTGGAGCCCAGTCATTTGAGGTTGCAGTGAGCTATGATGAGGCCACTGCATGCTAGCCTAGGTGACAGAGTGAAAC